GACAGCAGCGATGACGATATAGAGGATGGACTTGTTCCTAAATCAACGACTCCTAGAAGACTACGTGATCGAACTTCAAAAGTCAAACCTACAAAGTATTCATATCTGTCAACGGATCCGTCATCCTTCAAGAAGGCGATGTCGTCAAGTGACAAAGACAAATGGGTTTCTGCAACCAACAAAGAACTGAATAACATTGAAGGACATCAAGTTTGGGACGACATGTGGGATCGCCCGGAATCGTTCCTTCACACACTCTGGATCTTCAAAACAAAACCAGCTACTCTCTCATCTCAAGAACGCAAGAAAGCCCGCCTGTGTATTCAGGGATTCGCTCAACTTCCTGAAGAATGCGGCAATACGTTCGCCCCGACCGGTAAATTCACGACCCTGCTCATGTTACTTATGTTTGCCGTGGACAAAAAACTACCTCTAAGACAGTTTGACGTAAAAAGCGCATTCCTCTATGCCCCGCTTGAAGAAGAAGTCTACATCAAAACTCCAGAAGGATCTGATCGAAAGGCGCCATACCTCAAACTCAAGAAATCTCTCTATGGATTGAAGCAAGCCCCGGCCAACTGGTACAAAACATTGACTCAGTGGTTCGAATCAATCAACTATCAGCAGTCGACCTCGGATCCGTGTCTGTACATACACAAGGATCGCAACTCTTTTATATTCTTTCACGTGGACGACTTGATTGTAGTTGGGAATGTTGAAATCTTTGAATCATTTTTCATGAATCAATTTCCAAATTCAACTGCTCATGCGCCAGATTCTCTGCTTGGAATGGAAGTTTATCAAGAGGAAGGATCAATCAAACTTTCGCAACCAAAACTAATTCAAAAAGGTCTTGAATTACTTCATCTCACCGAATGCAGATCCGTCAAGACTCCGTTGTCAGTTGCCGTCCAACTAAAAGAGGCAACAAAGGAAGAACTGGCTGAATTCAAGAAACTAGATGTGAATTATCGATCATTCACCGGTATACTCAACTTTCTAGCCTGTCGGACTCGCCCAGATCTAGCGCCCGCGGTTTCTATTCTGTCCAGTTTCAATCATGCTCCGGGGATCACTCATTGGAAAGAAGTACTACATTGCTGGAAATATCTGGCCGGTACTATGGATCTCAGTCTAAATCTCACTCCCGACTCGTCAGATCAGTCACAGGCATTGGAATACTACACCGATGCTACTTGGGCTGATGATCTTGAAACCCGACTGTCTCGAAGCGGGACTATATGCTTCTGGAAATCTTGTCCCGTCTCATGGAGTAGCAAGAAACAAAAGAACATCACACTATCTTCAACAGAAGCTGAAATGAATGCTCTCTCAGATGGAGCCCAAGAAAATCAATGGATCACGTACCTTGTTGAAGAACTCTGGAAGGAAAAGCTCAATCCAACCGAATTTCACGTTGACAATCAAGGATTAGTTGAAAAAATCAAGAACTTTGGATCGAACTCAAAAACAAAACATCTTGATATAAAGGGTAAATGGCTCAGAGACCTAAAATCCTCGAATCAAATCAATGTCAAGCTCATTCCCTCTGAAGAAATGGTTGCCGACGCTCTCACTAAAGCAAGCAACCACGAATCTCTACAACGCCTCAAAGAACGATGCTTTCTAGTTCTTTTCTCACCAAATTGAGGGGGGTGTTGGAATTTTCTCAGTTTACCTCCTATCTCCTCCTATCTCCATTCCTTTTTCCTTTTTTCTTTCTCTCTCCGTTGTCTCGATCTCTCTACTCTACTCAATTCTCATCTCACTTCTCTCGCTCTCTTCATACACTGTCCTATACACTCCCGATCAAACGTCTTCTTAAAACAAACGCCTCATCCTCGTCTCCAACGCCTCGTCCTTGCCATCTTCTTACACCGACTCTATCAAACACCATGGAAACAACCCTACTCAGACACACCATCAACCACAAGCCGAACGAGTCCCTTCCTTCAACCACAAGCTGAACCGGTCCTCAATGCAGTATAAATATCCCATTGTTCTTCGCTCTCTCGTCCTCTTTCCCCTAGCAGTCTCCGACAATCTAACCCTCGACACACTCCTCTCAAATCCTTAAAACAAAAACTGCTCAACTATCTTCTACAACTCCTTCACCAACTTCTACCAACCCTCTTCGACAATTCCCCTCATCATTCTTCTCCGACTTCGCTTCTTCTTCTCTCTCATTCTCTATCTTCTTTCCCTCTTCTCTCTCATTGTTCAATCTCAACGTCGACGACTCCACATACTGTCGACGTCTATTCAACCACCTCTCATTCTCATTCCGCCGACTCTCTCTCTTGAAATATTCACTTGGCTTTTGCCAATTTGGTGAGAAAAACATATTTCAGTCTCTTTGGACTGAATCGATCAATATTAACCTTCTTTTTTATCTTTCTTATTTCAAAACAGTGTTTACTACTTGTCCTTGTTTGATCTACTATATTTCAGTCTCTCTGTTCTGTCTAATTCAAAAGACAACTCTTCTCGTGGTAAATCTCTATTTCTCTCAAGTTCTTACTTTCTCTTACTTTTGTTTTATTTCTGTCTTATTGATTTTTTTGTCTTTTGCTTTGTCAGTTCTGGTTCTAGTTTCAATCATAATTCCTGTTTTTCATCACTCTGCAATCAAAAGGTATGCCGGCTATTTGGAATTTCCGTGCTTGATTCTATTGTTTGTAATTTTGGAGGGTTATTTTGGCACTGACGACAATACTGACTGGTTACACTTCTCTCTTTTTTGCATCAAACCGACTGTCATCACATTTCTTACCTAAAAAAGGATCGGGCCGAACTAGTAAACTTAGGTCTTTGTTTGGGCTTCTCTTGATTGCGAGGTCTAACACGGAGTTTTGGATTGGAGGACCTGGTGATTCAGTATCGCTGGGGGGGTCTCACTCCGCTATCAAAAAGTCCGCGTGTGTCAACAACCAGATTGAACTGCTGTGAGTTCGTCCTCTGGGTGGCAGCTGGAAATAGACATGGCATGTGGGAATAGTCAGGCTGATGATCTGGATTGTTTGTATCAGTTTGTTATATTTCTGCATTTATTTTCCTTTCTATTTTCTGTAGAATATTGTGACTACTGGTCTGGGATTGTTAGTAATGCTTTGGGTTTGAAAGGTGTCTTGGCTGTTGGTACTTCCTTTGGGGGAGTTGTTCATTTTATTGTTATCAATCATCTTTGAATAGGTACAGGATTGCACATCAATTGTAACCTACCACACGTACTGCATTCTCAGTGAGTAACAGCTGTGTTCATGTCAGCCTGGGTTAATTTTGTTGACTTCCAGGTCTGGTACACTTTACATATCTGTGAATAAATAGAAGCTGTTTGCCACCCACTTGAACTGCCCCCATCATACTTGAATCTCAGTGAGTGCCTCCTTCTATGGTGAGGTAAAGGTGGAAAATGTGGCTGCTTATGAATTACATTGAAACTTGGTGTCACATACAGTAAACAGAAATCTGGTTGAGTACCTCCCTCCACCTTGAGTCCGTGGGGGAACTTGTTTATTGATTTCTTTGGACTTTGAAGAGGTGTTGCTGACTTGGTTTTGTCTTTTTAATAATGGCCCATTGGCCCTGTCTTTCTTTCCTGCAGATTCACCCACAGGAAACAGTAATCTCAGTGAGTACCTCTTTCCAGCTGGAGGTCATGGGGAAAATTATGGTTCTATTTCATATGATTTCTGTGGGATTGATGCTGACTTGTCTTCTGTGCTCTATAAAAATACCCTTCTTGGTGAACTGCCTCCGGCCATCAGGGTCTTGTGTTTATAAGGGCCACTTGTCAACTGTTGTGCTTTTATTGATAGTCACCCAAATGGAAAAAGAATTTCAGTGAGTAACTCCCTTCATCTTGAGGTCGCGCGACAAATTCTGATTTGGTTTCATTTGGATTTGGTGGAACTTTGACTGACCAGGGTCTGTTGTCCATATAAGGGCCTCCTTTCTGCGCCTGATTTGTCAACACCAAGCCTCACTGTTGGTAAGTACCTCCTTTCATCACTAGGTCAAGGGTGAAAACTGGCTGCCAATTGCCCCTGACTGGGCTTCTCATGTTTTCCCCTGTAGTGTCATCCTGAGGAAACATTAAACTTGGTGAGTACCTCCTTTCAGCTTGAGGTCAAGTGATGAATTATGTTATTGTTTCTTGGTAAGTTTGGAGGATTTGCTACTGACTGGAACTTGCTTTTCTATATAAGTGCCACCGACGGCCTTGTTGCTGCACCCGCAAGCTTTTATTTCAGTGAGTCCCTCCCTTCATCACTGGGTCAAGGGTGGAATCTGGCTGTCCAGCTGACCTGTCATCTGTTGTCTATAAAAGGCCCTTTTTCTCCCCTGTAGAAACAACCACAGGAAGGATCAATCTCTGTGAGTACCTCCCCTCAGCTTGAGGTCACATAATAAAATCTGCTGTTGTTTGTTTGTAATTTTGGAGGATTTGTTGCTGACTGGGCCTGCCTTTGCTATATAAAGACCTCCTTTTTCTCCCCTGTAGAATTGCCCACAGGAACCATCAATCACTGTGAGTACCTCCCTCCATCACTAGGTCAAGGCAGGGGCTCTGCTTGCACTCTCTCAATTTCTTTGGCCTGGTTTTACTGATCCTGTCTGTGCTTTTTGCTACGTTCTTCTCACAGGCTCTGCGAATATCTCTTTCCCAACCTCTTGGATAGTCTGATCTGTGTGCTCTAGTTAATTATCTGTTTTTGTAAGTTGTTGCCTTGTCTTTGGCTTTTTTCTTGCAGAGTCATTTTTCATGGGTAACCTCCTTTGGACTTGATGTGGGGTGTGGATTTGGATTTGGACTAACTGTGGATATTGGCTGTTATTTTATATGAGCAGATATTGTCAACCACTCTTTCCTTCCCCTCTTGAAAATCCTTTATTCTGGTAAGTACCTCCTTTTGACTTGAGGTCTATGTGAGATTGGTACTTTGCTCAATATCAGAGTACTTTATTATCATTTGTTTTTTGGCAGTTACAACTCAACAATGGTATCAACAAACACCACCGATGGATTCACAGTCCCTAGCCCGAGGAGGTCTGCGCGTTTGGCAACTGTGGAGCCTTTGAGCCCACAAAAGAAGAAGCCGATGAGTCCTACAGAGAAGAGAGCTCACGAGTTGAGGAACACACCTCGCGAGGACATGGAATTGGACGTGGACGTTGCGGACAAGGACAATACGGCTGCGGATGGGACGAACGGGAGTGAAGCTCGTGAGATGGACTTGGATGAACCTACTCAAAAAGTAAGCCTGTTTTCTTTTGGCTCATTGAATGAGATTTCTTGGCTCATTCAGTGGCTGCTCATCATCTTTCTCTCCAGCTGTCTGGGCAGGTTGGTCTCACCAACTTCCTGGGTGTAGGTACCCAGGAGGCCTGTGAATTTGAGTTTGGGAATATCTCACCCTCAGACTTGAGTGCAGAGCACCTGGGCATCCTGGCTCAGATGGTCCATGTGAACAACCAAATTCAAATCTCACTTTCTGCTGGTTCTTCTTTGCAGTCATCCACCCCGCAGCAACCAGGCTCTCCTCCCAAGACTCCCACCTCACCGAAACAACCTAAGAGCCCCAAGAAGAGCAAGGGGAAGCAGAAGGAAACGTTGCCGGTCCCGAGCGTAGAACATAGCATTGGATTCAGCCCTCTGTCTGAGTCCCACACTGACCAGCTGCCGATGACCTCAACCCCGGCCGCTCACACTGGCGAGGTGATAGGATTCGACTTCAGCACCCTTGGCCAGTCAAAGAGGGCACTGCCGAGCGACTTGGACGCTCTCGTTAACAAACTGGTCCCGATGGAAACGTCTACAAAGGTCACTGGCTCCATCAACAAGGAGGCTTCTCCAGTTGAGTCAAACTCCGCTCGTCATCCGCCAGCCCCAGTAACTCGAAAAAAACAAGTCGACTTGTTTATGCCTAAATCCATCTCAAATCAGGTCCGCCACAATCTTCCGTCAAAAACTCAGACGTTGGCTCAATTGGATCGTGAAATGAAAACAATGCAACTACCAGACGAGGCAGCAATGGCTTTGATGAATGTGAAGGAACTCCAAAAGATGAAGGAATCTTGTAAGTGTCTATTCATTGGCTACAATCGGGTAGAAGAGCACACATCTGACTTGTGCCTGGAATTGCTCTGTAAACAGTAAAGAAGGTCGCCGACGCACAATTACTTGCTTTCAAGGAAATGAGGAGTGCTAGTGGAATGGTAGCTTTCCCTGGGGTGCTAGACGGTTTGATGAAGAACGCTCGGTACATCACACGCTTCATGAACCATCTGGAGGATAAGGTACTAGAGGCATCACGCGACGGAAGACAGGAAATTGAAGTCATTGAAATCTCGGACGGTGAGGGTGAAGAAGTGAGCATCATGCCACGTAGAAGGTCGGTTGCAGAACTCAAGGACTTCATGAGGCCAGGATTGGTTCGAATGCCATCACATCTCAATCCTCCAACAAAAAGATCCGGTAGGTTGATTTGGGTTATTGGGTCTCATGTTCTTGAGCAGCTACCTGACCACACTCCTTTCTCATCTCATTCAGCCTCATCAAGCTCACTCAATCAGGACATGAATAAGCGGGCTAAGTCTCAAGATAGTAGGTTTCTGTCTTGCCTCTCTCACATCTCTGTCTCTCTTTCTTAATTCTAACTCAGTCCTCTTGGCTTCAGACTTGTACCTGGCGGACTTGGTGCCCCAGTTTGAACCTGGGGCTCAGAAAACGGTGACCCAATTGGAAATGGAACGTCGCGAATTGGCTGCAATTCAAGAGAAGGAAATCATCGAGGAATCCAACGCTTCGACTCCGCCACCCTACAACGATTCAGCTAAGGGATTCGGTGATCCTATAGCTGCAGCAAGGGCAGCTTTGCACAGGGACAGAAGGAGGGCTGCTGCTGAGGCTGCTCTGGCAGCTGATCTCGCGGAAGCTGCTACGATTCAACCGCCACCAGTTCCGGCGACCACTTTGGCGACCAATTCTGCCACAGTCCCTGCTTCCGTACCAGCTCAATCTGCTGCACCGATTCTGGCTAGTTCTCAGTCTGCTCCACCTGCCGCTGCCTCTGCCTCTCAATCCACAGATGCTCCAAGGGGCCCAGCCCAGTCCACTGCACCAACCCCTGCCGCCTCTCAGCCTGCTCAAGAACCAGCCCCTAGCCAGCCAGACAACTCTCAAAAGACGGGACCAGAGGAAGGCGCCAAGAAGGGAAAGGGCAAAGGGAAAGGGAAGGAGACTGTTCCAGAACAACCGCCAAAGAAACTTTGAAAGGACATGACTGCAGAGGAAAAAAAAGCGGACGACGAGAAAAAGGAGAAGGCTAAGTCATCTAAAAAATTCTTCAGCATTCCAACCACAGGAGGTGAGCTTCTTAATTCAGCTGTCATGGTCCATCTGATAGCTGAACTGACATGTTGCTCTCTGGCACCAGCTCTCCTTTCAGGCATTTGGGACATGAGCAAGGTCATGACGTCGGCTGACCAGTACCAGCAAATGATCAAAGATTCAAAGTGCACTCGTTGGGACTTTGGACCAGAACTCTTGCTAAAGGTTCGGCAAATGATCGAATGGTCAAAAGACGATACTTATCGGGATTCATTCTACACGCGCAAGGACCTGTTTCGACTCGAAAGTTCAACTGTCCAAGTCCTCGGGGTGCTTTCGGGCAGGCAATACAAATCTTGTCTTCATAAAGGTTTGTCTGTTTTTCTTCTGTCGCACTGCTCATGTGGCCATCTGTCTGACACTCTGGCCTAATGGTCTTTTCTTCCCTGTAGCGGTTAGGCTCTTTCAGGTCGATGCAGAAGATCCCTTCTGGAAACCTGCAGTGGTCAACTTCAAACTGCTGAAGAGGGATTCGAATCGAAAGAAGAAGACAAGGCTCATGCGTGGTCGGTCATAGGGTCAATGATGTGCCGGATGGACGATTCTCACGAGTTTACACCAGATGGGCCAACATCGAAAATGATCTCCAGTGGACAATCACGGCTGGCGACATTGGCAGCCGACTCGTACAATCAGCTGCACAAGTTTACTGTCATGGGCGAACCACAAGCTGAAACTGGCAATAGGGAGGACGACATGCTGGCTTCAATGTCTAATGCCGGCAAGTACATCATTGGGAAAATTCGGTGCCTCAAGGCAGGCGCGTCACAGACAACCGGGTCCAACTCACGTGCGGGGAACGGCTTCTTGGTAATTCAAAGGCGGATCTGGGAAACACTTCTTTGTATCCTCATGATGCAGCAGTCTCGTTTTCTGGAGGAATGCGCAACGCTGAAGGCAGGCCACATTCGCGAAGATGAGGTCGCCAAGCTGACAGAGGACATGGTAGCCAACGACCGCGGACGATCAATCTTCGACAAAGGTGATATCACCACAGAATTGACAGAGAAGCAGAGAAAGGAGTGGGGTAAACTTTGACTCGGAGCTTTCGGTTCAATGGCGATTTATTTTCTTTACGGCGCAGCTGGATGGTGGCATTGCCTCTATAACAACAGTGCATACAATCAGAAGGATGTTTGGTCTCTGGTAATGCTCGCTCACGCTAGACACGAATACTTGTACACGGATGGACGATACGCTCTCAGGGCCCCCGAGTCCACCCCTTGGTACACAACCGACAGCTTCATCCGTTTCGTACTCCGCTCGGCTAATGTCACCCAAAGTGATCCCTTCAAGATGGACTGGGACATTGCTCCCCGAACTTTCAACAAGTGGGTCACCGATGAGAATATTGCCTGATTCGCTTTACACGATATCCTGAGGGAGTGCAACTTGCCCGGTCGATCGCTCAACCTGGATGGTAATCCGGCTCCGCCAATGACTTTGCAGGAGGCACAGGAGGAGGAGGTTCGCCAAATCACAGAGACGGTTAGATCTGCTTGGGACCCCGCGGTGGCACAGCATCTCATCACATTGGACGAAGCAGAGCTGAGTCCAGATGTCTCAGCGGCTGATGCAATGCGTGGCCTCAGCATTGATCAATCTCAGCCGGCTCAGGGGACTTCTGAAGCGCAAAGACCACCAGAGTCCCAGAAGGATAAAGCACTCATGCCACCACCAAACGCCCAGCCATCATCAGCGGCGAACAAAGATAATTCAGCTCCCCCCAGCAGTGATCGGTCTGACTCGCCCATCCCCCGCCGCATAAAGAAAAAGGCACCCAGGCAACCCTCAACCCCTCCAAGCGAGCCTCAAGATTCCTCAGTTTGTTCAGGAAAGAATAGACAACCGACGCCTACACAGGACTCTGACGATGAAGAAGAAGACGAAGATGAAGAGGAAGACGAAGACGGAGACGAAAGCGCAGAGGAGAGAAACCGCAGGAGGAAAAGAGCCCAAGTTTGTGGATGTGGTGGCTGGTGTGGATTAGTTGTCTTTGATGTTGTTTACTTTCTTTCTTTTTTGTCTTTTTGTTTTACACTATGCTGTGTTGGATTGGTTGTTCTGGCTTGCCTTTCTTTTCATGATGCTTGGCTTATCGTTCTTTTTCCTTCCTGTTGTGCTTTTGCCTTTTCTGCTTGTCACTGTGCGGAAATTCATTCTCCTTTCTGCCTGCTGTGAGTTCTCCTCTATGCTGCCTAAAGCAGCTTGGCCTGGTGAGGCTGTGTCCTCAGGTGGCAGGGTGTGATGGGTTTGACTTCTAATGTCCCCTTGTCTAAACTCCTGAGCCTGGTGTGTGATGAATTCTGGTCTCAATTTGCAAGATTGACCTCCCTTTGGGAAAAGTTCAGCTCCATCAAGTAGCTGATTTTTTCATTTTCTCCTGGCAGGATGGCCAAGGGGGTTGAAGCTCTATTATCTGTTTTGCTCTCTTGTGCTTTTTTGGTATTTCATTGCTGCAATCGTTGGCTGTATTAAATCATGGTTGATTATATGTTTATTCTGGTAGCACTATCTGGAACTAAGTCTCACATCCCTGTGGGCATTGTTTGGCCTGATTGAGTGGTCAGATTGTTGAATTTTTGGGCTGATGGACTCAAGAGGCAGAGGGCCAAAAAAGAAAGGTTTCTGATTTGGGAAAGGTTCCCGGAAAAAGAGTGAAAGAACCGATGAGTTTTCATTCACAATGAAGAAGCCAGGTTTAAATAGCCTAAGTACAAGTGAGCAAAATGTGGTAGAAATGAAAATGAATAAAAAATAGGATATTGAATAAAAACTAAGAGAAAGAATAAATTGAGTTCTTGGAAGAAACAATCTCGGCAGGACTTCTCAGTCTCTTTTAGTCAGGCAAGAAGAGTTAATCAAGAAAAAACAAGAATTCTAACAGCAGGAGCGCCTGGAATGAGCCCTCATTCCTCAGTCCCCTCAGACCCCTCTCTTGGTGGAGGGTCTGAGGGGTCTGAGGAATGAGCATGTGAGCCAAATTTTTCACTGAAAAAGGGTACAATTTGGGCCTCCGGGAGGCTGAATGACTTTGAAAGTGTGCAGTGAACAAATCATGTATGACAATCCCTACTAGGCGTGTGTTACTTGTAATTGAGCTGACACTTATAAGTATTATATGACAAATCCTACTATACGTGTGTTATTTTTCTTGTAATCATAAATCTTGTATGACAAATCTCCTACTAAGCGTGTGTCACTTGTAATGTACCGTGTATATATGTATTACAGGAGGAGAAAGTATGGTAGGTAGGAAGACTACTCAGAAGGGGAGCTGTTGTTGTAGGCAATTTCATATATTTGCCCATATAAGTCTTTCATCTTATTAAATTCCTCTGCTAAGTGGTTATAGCGTTCTTCCCACTCCTTAACAGACCATTCCTTTAAAGCCAAGTTAGTTCTGAGAGTCATTATATTTTGATATAATGTTTCAATGAGCACCGTGCCTGTGCAAGAAGATTGGATGAGTAATACATAGGAGTCAGTGTAAGGCCAGAAACATAGCAGAGTGAGAGGAAAAAAAAAGAACAGCTTACGTGATTGGAAGTTGCATTGTACATTGTGGTCCCTGCACCTCTTACAATGCCCAGTTAGTGGCAAAACCTCACAGGTACTCTCCATCATGTGGTCCCTGCAAAACTCACAGCCATGCTTTAAGCAAATAAAATATGTCAGTGTACTATTCATGTTTAATTATGTTGAACTCAGATGGAAGGCCACTTACAATGTTAACCATGTTTAATAATAAGTGTTGAAGCTGTTGTTGTTGGTGGTGGTTGAATTTGATTTTTCTGGAGTGGAGTGTGTTGGTGGTTGTGGTTTTGATTGCTGATGGGGGGGAAACAGCCAGAGAAGGCACCTCTTAAATAGAGGTGCCATTGACTGAGAAAGGCCAAAAAAAGCCCTTGAGACTGGCCATACTCAGTCCCAAGGGCATGTGTCATGAGGGGCTGAGTAGCCCCAGGAGACTGCCTTGGCAGTCTCCTGTCTGCCAAGGGGCTTGTCTCTCAGCCCCTTGGGTGTGAGGGTGCTTGGGAATCTGCCAATGTACTTGGCAGATTCCCCAGAGACAGAAAAAAAAACAAGCTGAGAGGCTGCCAGAATGACAGGCAGCCTCCCATAATACCTGCCAAGCGTCGAGTCGCGCGACTCGACGCTGGGGCATGACACAGGGGTTGTACATCCCCTGTAAGGGGCTGGTACAACCATGGAAAGTTGCCAAAGTTGCTTGGGCAACCTTCCAGTTACCTGGCCTCTTGGACCGATCGATCGATCCAAAGGGCAGAAAGCAGGGCCATAACAGTCAATTCTATCCACCTGTATGGGCCTGG